GAAATTAAATATGATATATTACTTGTTGTACAATATGCACAAATCTTAAGTCAATATGATGATTATATAATACAATGGAAAAACTTAAAATCCGATGAAATTCATATAAAAAAATTTCAATGTACTTTTGAAGATAAAAAGCAAATTTTTAAAAAACAAACATTACTTAAACCAATCTTATTTACATTTGCAACAATTACTCTTCTTACTACATTTGTTTATTTAAGAAATAAATAATTCTTGTTTTTTTCAAACTTACTTATAAGTTAAATATGTTTTAGCCCACTTTTGTCCTTGTAAAACATAACGTCGACGACGACGACGATTACCATACATATGAGGACGTGGTACACGATTAGGGTCATTATCAGCTAAACCACAACGAGGACGTCGAATTAAATCAAGTGTTGCTGGATCAAGTTTACCCTTTTGAATAAAAATAATTGAAATAAAAATAAGAATTATATTCAAATTACATACAGTTACAGGTATTGTAGCATATGTTTGTAAACGTCGTATAGCTGAATGAAATTCTTCATCGGTTCTCATTGCGCGAGTTTCCAAGTCAGAACGAGGTAAATAACCATAATTACTTAAATATGTATGCTTAAAAAAGTCATAGAAAATAAGAAGAGAAAATATTATTATTTATTTTGCATTTTTATTTTAATAAACTTACTAATTCACCTAAAACAGCTCTGTTCTTGTCGTCAAATATCGAATGTCTTCGATCTTTTTTCATTATTCTACCAGGTGATGTCGTGAATTCTCGTTGATCTTTATCGATTAAAATTGGTCTTGATATAACTAATTCGACGAGAATAACAACGACGAATAGTAGATGACAATCGAAGACGATCAAGCCACAGGGCATAGTCACTACAAAAGTCGGAGTAGTGCATCACCACTGTTGTACAAACATGTCCACTTGTCTCTTTCTACAATTAATTTAATAGTAAAGACAAAATCAATATCATACAAATTAATTGATGTATATATTCTCTATTTTTATATGACCTTAATCTTCGATTTTTTTCTCTCTTTCTGCTTTCTGTTTCCCATTGCAATCTGTTTTTACTTTCCTTTTGATTAACCTTGACGTACAACAAACAGAGATATATTCATTTGGGAAATATACTCATCGTTTAGATTTATCAAAAGTATCATTTCTTTATTTTGCCTTTTTATTATTACAATAGAAAAAAAAATTACACACTCTTATTCCCTAAACCGGATATTCAGTAGAAAAAATCTAAACAATCATTTTTCTTAATAACTATAAACGAACAACTCAACCAAAAATATACATGACCTTCGTAAAAAAAGTGGAAAAAATCTTCACAAAAAATTACTTCTATAGTACACTTGTCGAAGCGAATCAATGAAGAAATAAAGAAACTTGTCATACATCCAAGGATAAATATTCATTTTTACTCTCAGTATAAATAAAAACTAAATCGATGTTAATTATATATCCTCGTTTATATTAACAAATCTTTCGAAAAATAATAATTTTCTTATTTAAAATTTTTGAAAAATCTCTATTCAAAGTAATGTATAATAAGAAAAAGAAAACGTTTTTTTTTTCTTCTTTTGTCTTAATCGAAAGAAAAAGAAAAAAAAAAGAAAAGGAAAGGAATAAAGATTAATGACGACTAAATTAACATTGTTAAGTATATTTCCATTTGTTTGACAGTATACGAACAAATATAAAAAAAAGGAAACTGATATGAATGGTACTTACTCTCTTAATAGCTCTTTATTTCTATCTAAACGAGTGCATTTGTTTTATATAGTGTATCACCATTTTCTATGCAGTCACGTTTCAGCAAGTATTTTCCTGTTTTTTTTTCATCGTCTTCTCTTACTCTCTTATATTACTAATCATCGACAAGCGACTCCGTCGAGACAGATAGAAAAAAAAGATGCATGTACGCAGCACGAATCTCACTAAATTATGATTACATGCGCAACATTCAGCATACTGTTTGATCTAACAAAACAACTAATAATTGTTGGTTTGTTACTAGAATATAAAAAGCCAGTGTAATAACGCCCGCCTTTTTCTCGCTTTCTTTCTCTTCACAGCCGTTAATTTGATGAGAGAGAGAGAGAAAGAAGAAAAAAAACTGCTGCCTCAAGTCGACTATCACTCAAGGACATTCGAACGTTTCTCTATTGATTATGTGCACTATTATATGCTCATCTGAAAAGAAGAAAAGTACCGTTCATAACTATTTATGCAACGGTGACGACAAGTCTTATCTTTTTTCTTTCTCTACTTCGATTTGTAATAAATTCTTACACACACTCATCAATCTTTTTTTGTAAAGATTGTGCAAAAGAAAAAAAAAAAGTTGAATATGGTTTCTTTAGTAGTAATTCAATGAATCTTTTTCGTTTTTTCATATTTGTCAATCAAATCAAATTGATTTTTCATAGAATCGAGAAAACGCTTTAAGCTAAAATCTAATTGAAATTTTACTCTATTGTATCAGTACGGAAAGTAACTATCTCGATAAAATAATCTTTGAAATCAACTATGACGAGATGATTATTTCATTTCTTATAGTAAATAATTCATATTCTCATTATAAGAATCTCTTACCTAACCTTTTTTTTTCCTCCATTATATTCAATAATTATTTTTTCAAGAAAAAAAAGTCTCACTATTAACTATACCTATTAATATCTTAATAATCTTTTTTTTTACTAACCTTACTTTTTGTAACTGTATACGAATAATGATGATCTCTATGGTAAAACAATTGTTACATTCACCTTTTCATATAAAGAAAGAGTAAAGATATAAACAGTTCTATGCGACAACTAGAAGGTCACAACGAAAGGAAAAAAAATCGCGTTGGTATTTGAACTATACTATTTGAAGGAAAAGGAGACGAAATGATTCTGTAATATTTTTTTTGTCTCCCGTCAATAAACAAGAGAAAATATTTTAAAATCCGATTAGATTTGTTTTTCTTCCTTGTACATTCAAGCATATGAATGTCTGGCTTTTGTTTAATGCCGTATCAAAACATATATCATTTTCAATATCTTAACAATAGTGAATATGTATGGTATGAGATGATATTTGCATAATCTCCTAACATGCAACTGTGCCTACTGTTTTTATAATGATTAGTATGATTGTATAAATTGATTAACTATCATGTTCTAATGCTAACCAAATAGAAGCACTTGACCTTCATTTGTATTCAGTTGTTGTATTTTTGTAATATGTTTAGATGATTAATATTTAAAAAAAAAAGAAATTTCTTTTTTTATGTAGTATTTTTTTTATTTTAAATTATTCACAGATTTCACCTCGAGCATATAACTAATCTATGATTATCATTAATTATATAGCTGGCAGATATCTATACATATATAATTGATAAAAGGTTATTCTCTAAATATATCGAATTGTATGATACTATACTCTACAATTACAATATTTGTTGGACGACGAAACAAAAAGTCAAATGTCAACAGATGCTACATGATGAATATGCCTACCAGAGAATGATTGAGACAAACGGGCGATTATTATTCAGTTTAATTGTTTCGTTTGTTATCTTCTTTGAATCGGAATATAAGACGTGTTCAAGGTTATTGAATTGTTAAATAGTTTCTTCCACAGTTACTCGTCGCGCAAATACATTCATTCACACACACATATACGAGCAGTCATCACTAAAGAACTGAATCGGGAAAGAGAGAGAGAGAGAGGGAGGGAGTGTGTATGTGTGCAGAACCGCGCAGCTATGTGGTTTTTTCTCTCTTATCTTTCTCTCATTTCTATATCCATTTTCCTTCTCTCTTTTCTCTCTTTTAGTCTCCTAAGCTGCAGAATGTATAGCTGTCTATGTTGTTGTTATTTTTACTACTATGGCTGGTGATGATGAAAGAAAAAGAATGATTAGCAGACAGCCGTACGACAGCAAGCGAGAAGAACAGGAAGACAAGGGCTTTTTTGTCATATATTAAAACTTCTATTTTACGTTGAAGGTTCTTCTATAATTTGTTTTTCTTGTTTTAAATTGATATGAATTATTGTTTGAAAAAGATCTGGTTTCTTAAGTAATAAAAATAAATCTCAAGTTTGCAGGCAAAATGTCTATCAAAAAGCTGTCACCAATCAATGATCTAAACAAATCAAAGAAAAAGAAAAAACTAAAAGATCTTATGTTTGATATGACATTGAATGTCTTTGTTTATTTTTCTTGCATTTAGAAAAATGAGGAACTAAAACTTACATTAAGAAGAAAGTTCACTTTCAAATTTTTTCCTTTTCATGACAAAGTAAATCTAAGTGTCAACTAAAAGAATAACCAATCATAAAAGAAAAGAAGAAAGCGAAATGGTTGTTTTTAAGTATTTGCAGAGTGAAATGAAGAAATGCTTCTTTTTTATTCTTGTCAATCCTTGATAAAAAAAAAATAGATGAAGCCACTCAGACTACATCATGCAAACGTGTAATCAGAACAAAATATTAATAGGATTTTTTATTCGATATAAAAAAAAAAATCTTCTTATAGACCTGTCAATGTTTTTTTGATGAACATAAATCATTTTCTATAAGTTTATTTTTATCAGCATTACATGACAAAGTCTTAGCTTCTTTTTTTCTCTTTCAGACGTTGAAGGTTACGTATTATATGTGTTAATATATATTTACTTAAGGATAATCAATCTTGTAAGTAGTTTTTTTTTGCGCAATACAATCAATTAAATTAATTTCATTATTCAATTTTTGATGTCCTCTTTTCTTTTTTTTTTATCTCGGATGAGAAATATTAGTCAATTTGTTCTTTGTTAATTTCGGCATATAGAGAATATATATACAAAAAATAATTTGAATGGAATATGTTATGAATCAGAAACGATCATTTTATTTACTGTCATTTTTTTCTTCATGAAATCAATAGAAAAAGATTTTACCAATTAATATCTAAACGACTATTTATTAATGGATTGTTTGATAACTTGATATCTTATTAATCATCCAAAATTTCAATATTTTTTTCTTGTCTACATTGAAATTCAATAACATTTGATGCTTGATGTGGATAAGGTTTTATTATCCAACAAATAAGTAAAGAAAATATAATACAAAAAGGTAAAAGAATTGACATTATTATAATCAATTGTTCACCACAATCAATTTGTTCAGGAAATGTTTCTACAAAAAATTAATATTGACATCTATATTTTGACAAAGTTCTTTTCTTATTAATAGTACACACCCATATATTCCATTGAATTAAAATGTAACTATATGAAAGAAATGTTTTATTCTAAATAAATAAAAAATGTGGGAAAAGAATTCTCAAAATGAATTTCTTCTTAAATGTTTTTGATAGAATTATTTGAATATAAAATTTTCTCATGCACGTACACAATTTGTTTTTGTTGAATCTTAATTTGCCGTAAAAGCTATCTAAACCCAATAACATGAACGTTGAGTTGTTAAAATTACAGGACTTTTGATTAATTGATTTCAATCCCGTCTAACTTTGATTTGAGTAGTATTCGATAGGTTTACATGTCAACGAGTTTGTCGATTATTGACATTAATATTGGAGGTTATGAGCTATAAAAAAAATTAGCATAAAAAAAGAAAAAAAATATATTGTAAACAGTACCATTTGCTATACATGTTAATGTTAACCGATTATATTTATTTAAGGTGTTAAAATATACATAAAAAATAATAATATGTGTATATACTAGTACACATCCAATTATTGTTGAACAAATAAATTTAAATACCAATTCGAGTAGAGCAAGAATGTTGAATAAAATCG